AAATCATTTCTAATATATATATATATATATGGTATCAGATTGATCTAATTTCTGTACACTGAAGGCAAGCAAGTCCTAGGTTACAAACTGAACTCTCCAATGCAAGAACAAGATGCATTTCTTCCTTTAGGAGGTGCTGTTGTCAGAAGAAAATAAAAAGGTTTCAGTTTTGTTTTTGCATGTGGGTGGGTATTCTGTTTGTAATAATTGTTTGGATACACTATATTTTTAATATGCTAGTTGTGATAATTTCATGCCAAGTAAAAATGTCCATAGTCATATTTTATGTTCCTAAAGTAACAGAATGACTTTCAATCTAGAAAAGACAAAAGAAATGCTAATGTAGCATTTTTTCAATTTTTCCGAAAATTTCCGTTTTTTCCCAAAAAAAAACCTGGGGAAAAAACGGGTTTTTTTCCAAGGTTCAAAATTTTCCGAAATTTTACATCTCTAGTCTGGACCGGTTGCCAGTCGATAGCTGGGATCTTTCAGTACCCTTAATTTAGCCTAAAGCTTAATGCGTGGGTCCCCAATCTTTTTGAGCCTGTAGGCACCTTTGGAATTCTGACCCAGTTTAGTGGGTGCAGGAGCTGCGGAGGCTCAAGTGGTTAAGACGCTGAACTGCAGGCTGTGGAAGTTCGGTAGTTCAGCACTTCGAGACCCGAGTGCGCCACATGATGGAGTGAGCCTCCCGTCTCTAGTTCCAGTTCCTGCCAACCTAGCAGTTCGAAAGCAAGAAATTGCAAGTAGATAAATAGGCACCACTTCTGTGGGAAGGTAACAGCATTCCGCGCGCCTCGGTGTTTAGTCATGTTGGCCACATGACCACGGAAACGTCTTCGGACAGCGCTGGCTCTTCGGCTTTGAAACGGAGATGAGCACCGCAACCCTAGAGTCGGACTCGACTGGCTTTCGAGCAAGGGAGACCTTTACCTTTAGTGGGTGCAGCCACAAAATGGCTGCCACGGGAAGTGGGACCAGCCACACTATCAGTCACGCAGAGCTGTGTGGTATGGTGGCAGCTGCTGCCAAAGCAGTGTCCTTCACCGCCTGTCAGATCTCCAGGGGCCAGTCAGAAGCACTGTTCCCTCTAAGCTGAGTTAGTGTGAGCCAGCTCGCCGTTTTTTCGTCTCCGGCTCACACATTTTTTGTCTTCGCTCAGGAGGGGATGGCTCCAGAGCAAACCAATTGATGCAGCAGCCAAATGGCTCATTCACAACTTTAATGCCAGAAGCTCACAAAGTGCAGTTTTTGCTCATAAGACCCCACAGCTTAGAGGGAGCATCCGGACCCCTGCTGTACAAAAGCCCTATCTCGTCCTACCCACTTTTTAGGAACACTTGGTGGGCCCCAGGAAAGGTGTTGAGAGGGCACTGTGGTGCCTGTTGGAGTTCCCTGGCTTAATGCCCATCTAGCAGCTGAGTGAGGAGCTCTTCAAATTTTGGTCAGGAGGGAAGCGTCTTGCCAGGTTCCCACCCAACAGGAAGGGCAGTGAATAATTTTGATCTCTTCTATTTTGCTGCTTTAAATTTTGAGAGTTCAGCTTGGAATGTGACTTTCCTTCTGAGCATCCATCCCTCTCCGTGACATGAGAGATGCAGACAGTATTTGCTGTCAGCCCTCTGGTGGTACCAGTGTTCCCTCTGAGCTGAGTTAGTGTGAGCTAGCTCACAGTTTTTTAGCCTCCAGCTTACCCATTTTTGTCTTAGCTCAGGAAGGAGGGCTCCAGAGCAAACTAATTTATGCAGGAGGCAAATCGCTCGCTCACAACTTTAATGCCAGTAGCTCACAAAGTAGAATTTTTGCTCTCAAGACTCCACAGCGTAGAGGGAACATTGGTGGTAACCCCACCGGAGGGGGGGGTGTCTTATCTGCATTGGATCATTTTGGCACATGGAACCTCCTCATCAGTCCCCAAAACTGGAGTGGGAAGTATGTGGGCCACTGCCATGCTTTTGGCACATACACACAGAGAGTATCAGTCCTCCCCCCCCCCTTATTGGGTGAGAGCTGCTGGACCTCTGATCATCCAGGTGGAGAGGAAAACCCTTTTTGATAAACAGCTTGCTCAACACCTGCTTGCTCAACGTCACTTGCTCAATTGCTGGTTTCAGTCTTGATCAGCGTCTTCGATTGCGCTCACCTGACCTGGGATGCACGAGATCCGGAAATTCTCCCTCCACAAGGAGACATCGGGAGAGCCACTTCGCAGCAGATACCCACAGGGAGCCTTATATTCCCCCCCCCCTGTATGCCCCAGCCCCCGTGTTCAATGAAACTTGCTTTGAAGAACAAAAGGATTGGATGGGGGACATGGCCATGTTATTGAAATACGGGAAGGGTTGTCCCTTAGGGCAAAGATTTGTTCTAGAGGGCAGGGCTAGATCTACTGATGGGCTGCTGTCATAAGAGGCCAGATTTTGGCTGAACGTTAACAGTGACAACAATGTGACTTTGGGACCAATAGCCTGGCTAGGGGTGAAGGGATCTCTGGAGGTCTTCAAGCTGAGCCATCTGTTAAGGGTGCTGATTTCCTGCACTGAACAGGGGGTTGGGCAAAATAGCATCAAAAGACCCTTCCGTCCCAGGACTCTTATCGATGCAATCCTGAGTGGAATTAGACCCTTCTGAGGCCATTGACCTCGATATGGACTTCAAAGGGTGTAACTCTGCTTAGGACAGCACTGTAAAAGATAGTGTGGGTGTGAAGCTGCACAGTTTGAGTGTGGACAGACCAGTCACTCCGTAGGAATCATTCTCTCTGAGGGCAATGTGGGCTAAGTTGGGACCGTCCAGCTTTGGAGCGCCCCTCGTATATCTCTTGTTCAAAGCTGTTCTAACCATCAGTTCTTATGGTAATGGTGGGTGGATGCTGAATTGGGGGCAAGGTCTGAACTGGTGGATGCCGAGCTTGGGAGGGGTTCTTGGGGAAGCAGCCGTCGGATTTGAATAGTGCTTTTCATTGTAGGGACCGGTGCGGCGAGAGGCCTTTGGAATTGTGGCGGAGATTCTTCATGCTGCAAGAATCTCCCCCCCCCCTCTTTTTGCTGAATGGTTTGTTCAAACGCTTTTTAGCAGGCCGGTCCCAGTGGAGGCAGGAGATGCATCGGTCACACTTTGAGTGCCACCATGCAGTTCGGCAAAGTGAAACTGAAACGGGAGATACTTTGTTCCGTCCTGGACCGCATTAGGGCAGCTGATCTTTTTAGTACCGATAAAGCAATGAAAGTCCTCGAGGGCGGAACATATAAATCAGCCAATGGAAATTTGACGGTTTGGATTCTCTCTCGGTTTTCAACGCCGCGGTCCATTTTCAGAGCGGAGGATTTTGACAATCAGGAGTCATATTAATGTGCCTGTTAGGGGACAGGATGGATGACGGGCTGCTATTTGACCCCAGAACAATATTGGTGAAGTACTAGCTGATAAATTTTGGGTAAAAAAACTGTGCTTCTCCTTCAAAGGCCAAGTAGTGAGACGGTAGAGTTTTGCAAGCGACAGTGTTGTTTGTAACTAATGCTGTTGATCGCTTTGGGGCTCTGCGGGAGGGGGGCAGTGTTCCCTCTAAGCTGAGTTAGTGTGAGCTAGTTCACAGTTTTTTAGCCTCCGGCTCACACATTTTTGTCCTAGCTCAGGAAGGAAGACTCCAAAGCAAACTAATTCATGCAGTAGCCAAATCATTCGCACACAACTTTAATGCCGGTAGATCATGAAGTAGAATTTCTGCTCACAAGACTCCACAGCTTAGAGGGAGCATTGGCAGGGGGTCGAATCAGCTACAGTGCAAGGAGTTCAAGCTGTAGGGATTGTGTATGTGCTCTCCATTGTAATAATAATAATAATAATAATACCTTTTGATTTATTGATCGCTCATCTATTCTTATTTTTCTGTTTTTTAGTAGGAAATTATGAGGTCTAGCTTTTTCTATATTTTAGTCATCTGCTTAAAACTAATAAGTTAAGAAGCAGTATGCGTTAGAGAGAATCGGAATTACTGCACTGGAAGTGATACAGCCTTTACTGTGTCCAGTTTTGGGCACCACATTTTAGGAAGGATGTTGACAAGCTCGAGCATGTCCAGAAGAGGGCAACCAGGATGGTGAGAGGGTTGGAATCCAAGTCTTATGAGGAAAAGCTGAAAGGGTTGGATATGTTTAGCCTTGGAAAGAGAAGGCTTAGAGGGGACATGATTGCAGTCTTCAAGAATTTGAAGGGCTGTCATG